TTCACCATTTGGCGCGCGGTGCATAATTGGCCAGGCCGAGACCGAGACCTGGCCGAAACCAAGACAGAGTCAGAGACCGAGACCACGACCACGACCAGGACCAGGCCCAGGCAACGGAACGTTTTTTTCTGTTCGCTGATGATTACCGATATTGCAGGCAATGAAAAATGCGTTGGGTGCGTGGAAAAGTTTTCTATTTTCAGTTTTCTTCCACCCAAAATCTGGTGGTAGCTTGAAGCTGAAGTTAAAAAATCCTCCCCACCCCCCATTCCGCTTGATTTCATTCCAGACAAGCTGAAAATGGCAAGTCCACAAAATAAACCTTTGAAATTCCAAAGGAATTCTAAAAGATTTATTCAAATTAATTGCAATTGATCCTTAGTAATAAGTTGTTACGAGTATTGTTCCGCGAACGAATGTTCTTTGAATGAACTATTTTTTATTGAAATTTCCCCATTTTCCCCCGGGCGGAGGACCATGCTCTGAATATGTTTAGACTTTTTGGTTTGTTTGAAGTTATTTATTTGGTTGCCATGCTGTTACTGTGTGTAGAAGATTTTTCCAAAGCGATATGTATCTTATTCTAATTTTTACAATCTGTAGGTACTATATCAGTGTGTTTATATGCTTTTTATATGCTTTTATATGGTTTTAGCTTGCGATGAAGTCTTTTTGCTGGTACATTTGGATGTAAGCGAAGTTGATTGATACATATATGTATATCTAAGCTTGAGTATAAGGGAATGAACAATACCCCCTTCCGTCTTTTCAAATATACATACATATGTACGCATAAGTATTTCGTTCATGTGTGTTATTGCTGCAGTGCCATTCATTTATAGTCCATAACGCCATAATGTACATATGTCCAAATGTATGCTTTTGTATATGAGGACTTTCTTTTGAAGAAAGATAGTTTTTTATTGGAGTTCAGGAGCCAATTAATTTTGAATGCCTTGATTTTTAAAGATTTTATGGTTTGAAGGATGTTACTATGGAAGTCTGGTGAGTCTTTTGTCGGGTGATAATACCAGATACATAAAGACAGTATCTTGCTCTTACTATGTATATAATGTTGCATGTATGAAGATTCCTCGCCATGTGGCTTTACGAAGGGTCTAAGTAACAGTGAGACATTTGTTTTAGGCTGTAACGTGTAAAACTAAGAAAACCCTGCATGGGTTTTTCTAGTTAAGGATTTAATAAAATCTTGTATAATTACAAATTTTGTTTGACTTTCAGGCAGGACTGAAAGTAAGCTGTCAAAGATGGCATATAGTTGAGGGTTGAGCATATTTTCCATTTTCGAGAGCAGTCCCGCCTCCCAAACTCTATCAAATGCTTTTTCGATGTTTAGAAACGCAGCCACAGTGAACGCTTTACCGGGAAAGCTGCTAAGAAAACAGTTTGTGACACGGTGAAGTTGCTCAGGATTTTCATGGCCTAGTCAGAATCCAAACTGAAATGTTGGGATAGCCTCCTTGATTTTAGGAGATTTGAGGATTTTTCGCTATAAAGAGGTATCCAAAAATATCTATAGTTTCATGTAAAGAAAACAATAAATTAATTAATTGATTTATTATACATATATTAAATTAACATAATTTTAAACTCCGCGCCATAAACTTCCACCCCGACCCAACTATCTGGCAACACTGCAAAAACGTTAGCAAGTCAGGTAAATTAATGTAGAATAGCAACAGAGGACGCTGCCTGGCCAGTCGTCTCTGTGTAGTTGACATGTAGATTGAACATTTGAACATTAAAATAATTGATCTTAATTGATAATGTTAAAGTTACGGTTATTATTCAGCGGCTGGCCCGAACAGTATGGTTAGTGGTACAATATAGAAGAACATATATGTATATACTGTATGGTGGTTAGTGATTGTACACATTATTGCCAGCATTATCGATAAGTATAGTTATTGATGTACAAATCAGCTAACATAATCGGGGAAAGTACCGATAGATAAGGAAGTAGGGCATCTGAAATTTGGCTGATGAAATTTTGCAATGCCTATTGCGTGAATATTGAGTCGTTATCTTTGGCTGGGTGCACCGACTGCGGCGGCAGGGCAAGGCGCTGATGTTCCTGACCCTAAGGGATGGCACCGGCTTCCTGCAATGTGTGCTCACTGATTTGCTGTGCCAAACGTACCAAGGCCTGGTTCTGAGTACCGAGAGTTCCGTGGTACTCTATGGCATACTGAAAGCGGTGCCTTCGGGGAAGATCGCACCCGGTGGCCATGAGCTGCATGTGGACTACTGGGAGCTGATTGGTCTGGCTCCTCCAGGTGGAGCCGATGCAATTCTCAACGAGGAGGCTCTTCCCGACGTGCAGCTGGACAACAGGCACATTATGATTCGGGGCGAGAACACCTCCAAGGTGCTCAAGATGCGATCCGTCGTGATGCAAGCCTTCCGTGACCACTACTTTGATCGCGGATACAACGAGGTGACGCCTCCCACACTGGTACAGACACAAGTAGAGGGCGGCTCCACTCTTTTCAAGATGCAGTTCTTTGGCGAGGAGGCCTTCCTCACCCAGAGCTCGCAGCTGTACTTGGAAACCTGTCTGCCCGCCCTGGGCGATGTCTTCACTATTGCCCAGAGCTATCGGGCCGAGCAGAGTCGCACGCGCCGACACTTGGCGGAGTACACCCACGTTGAGGCAGAGTGTCCATTCATTAGCTACGACGATCTGTTAGATCGCCTCGAGGACTTGGTCTGCGATGTTGTGGATCGGGTGCTGAAGTTGCCATATGGCCACCTGGTCATGGAGCTCAACCCGGATTTCAAAGCACCGAAGAAGCCATTCCGTCGCATGGACTACGCGGCCGCTATCTAATGGCTGAAGAAAAACAACGTGACCAAAGATGATGGCACCTTCTACGAGTTTGGCGAGGACATACCCGAGGCCCCCGAGCGCAAGATGACCGACACTATCAACGAACCCATTCTACTCTGTCGCTTCCCCGTGGCCATCAAATCATTCTACATGTCCCGCTGCCCGGAGGACAAGCGGCTTACCGAGAGTGTGGATGTCATGCTGCCAAACGTGGGTGAGATTGTCGGCGGCTCGATGAGGATTTGGGACAGCGAGGAATTGTTGAACGGCTATAAGCGTGAGGGCATCGATCCGACTCCCTACTATTGGTACACCGATCAAAGGATCTACGGAACAATACCTCATGGCGGCTGTGGTCTTGGCCTGGAGCGTTTCCTCTTCTGGCTTCTTAACCGCTATCACATTCGGGAGGTGTGTCTTTATCCACGCTTCCTCGACAGATGCAGGCCCTAGTTCCGAAAATGCATATATGTATGCATCATCGCAATTCAGTGAACATACATATTTATACATCAACACACATTTGTATATAATGTACATATGTACATATGTATGTATATATCTGTATAAGCAGAAATCGAATTAATTGCATGAATATTAATTGGGTTTCAAAGCAGCTTGGATAACAAATAAATTAATTAAAGGAAATAGGGTATACAAATGTCCAAACTCCGTAAATATGTATTTGAAATGTAGCAAATGAGTAAATACCGTATAGTTACATATAGATTCTTGTAGACCTTTAACCCATTGTCGAAAATAACTAAACTTGAAGAATCTTAGCACTGTTGAGATAACAAATGTCTTGGCAAGGTATGGACAACAGGTAAGAGCAGCCAAGGAAAATGGCTAGCCTCCTATGAACCTCACCTCGGTTTTTGGTTTTCATGGTATTTGAGGCAAAAGGGGTGGATCTTACCTTGCATGCGTTCCATTTTCTGTGCTGTTTTACCTGTTGTCCATACCCGAATTTTCCTCAGAACTTTCCCAGCGGCGAAATTCCTCCATAGTATGTTAGGAAAGAAGGTGGATTTTATCTAGTATTCGTTGCACATACCGGACCGTTTTGCCTACTGTCCATACCCTCTCTTCAACCACAATTTCCCGGCGGGAAATTGTACCGTTTATTTTTTAACCGAGCGGCATTTTATTTTGGTCTTCAGTTTCTTCCTTGTCGCTCATTCAGTTTCCAACAATTTCTATTGGCGCGCTCAATGAGGGCCTAATTGACAGTTTTTGGCTCTCTTGCTCTCCTCAAATCTGTCAAAGCTCTCTTCTTCGCTCTTCGTATCGGGTAAGGCTCTCTTTGAACCGTTGGCAACAATGAGTCTCATTCCATACACAAACATGTTGCTAATTTACCAGCAACACTGCAACTGTTTTTTTGTTGAACTATTTTGCTTAAACCTTGTTTAGTCAAAATACAATAATAGCAAGGAGTAAAAACAGGCCAGCTTAGTAGAAAATTGATTCATTAATCGTATAAAATTATGTGGGCATAGATAAAGGCCCGGTTGACAACATTTAAATCCTTGTCGCTCACATTCAAAAAAGTTAGATTTGGCGCGCACCACTCGGTATATTTTGAAAATGAGACCGTATATTTCGGTGCTGTTCTGAGGGTCATACTGTAAAAACTGGTTTTCGCCGCGATCCCATGTGGTGTTTTTTAGTGCTAAATGGTATTGTATTAATTTCATTTTCAATGTTATATAGAAATCCAATAAATGCAAGTATTTCGAATAGGCCAATCATGTATAGAATTGATTCATCAATCGTACAAAATTGAGTGGGCATGGCTAAAAGTTTCATATAGATAGTATTATTCAACGGAAGAAAGAAAACGAGGAATATGCAAAATAGAACTAGAATTCGTCAGTATATTTACGGTATGTTTTTAAATAAGACTGTATATTTTGGTATATTTCTGAGGGTCGGACGGTATATCTTGGCGATAAATAATCATCAAAACTTCCAATATTTTTGAACCGAGCGGTTGCTGCGCGCTTTTCCGGAAATCGTTGGAAGCCGCCGACGTCGTCGTCGTAGTTGTGTCTACAAAAACAATAATAATAAAAAGCGCTAGACAAAAGTGCTACTAGGTAATTGGCTGTAATTATTTTTGCCGACAGATTTTTTTTTGTGGTGTCGCCGTCAATCAACTTTTTGCATATCTCAGTCGAAGTTCTCCGTTACAAAAAAGCCCAAGTTTGCTTGTAAAACAAAAGAAATACGAAGTAGTGTAATAAAATCAAAATAAATTGAAAGCAAAAAATCCTTAGTACACACACCGACGGCGGCCGCTGTCACTGTTTGTGTGAGTGTGTGCGTGTGTGTGAGTGTGCAGCAGCGGTTTGTGAGGCCCGCGCATGCGCCAACTCCCACAACCGTGGTTGAGTGTTGAGTCGGGTTTCTGTGCATTAATTGCTTTTCCGCTTTTCCGCTGCGGAGACTCCATCGAAATCATTTGAAGCTGCCAGGCGATACGATCAGAGCAGGCGGTAGGTGGTAACAAATTTTGTTTGTTGTAAGCTAAGCTTCACTGTAGTTTCGCCCGTTCTTGTCTTGTCGAAAGAGTTGTCCGCCCACTCACACTCTCTGTCTCTCTGTCATTCTGTCTGTGCTGTACTCCCCCTGGCCCTGGGCCCATTCAACCACCCGCACATTTACTACGCGCGCTTTGCCGAAAAGCTCATTCTGCGACAGCGTCTGGCCCGTTAGCGTAAGTAAGCTTTTTCTTTCATTCAAGTTGTTGCAGTCGGCGTCCCGTCGCGTCGTCGTTATGCTGCGTGAAAGTTAATTCCGTTTACTATCGGCATTCATCAACGTCATCATCACCATACCCACCCACTCTTGGCCACCGCCACCGGCACCTCACCTCTGGCTTGCACCTGCCCTTCGTCTTTTTGCCGGCTTTTGGTGTTAAGCATTTAAGCAGTAATTGACATGCATTTCCCGATATGTGTTGACAGATAACCAAAGTTTCTGCTGCCTTTTCTACTCGTAAGTATAAGTAGTCCCCTTCTCCCTCGCTCTCTCTCTCTCTCTCTCTTCCTCTCTCGCTCTAGAGTGTGGCAAGTGGGGCACTAGTTGTGGGTGGGGTTACTAGGGGATTATCATTATGATGGGGATTAGGGGAGTGCCTGCCATGATGCTCTCCTTTCATCATATTGAGTGTGGCTTAAAATACACAGTTTTTTGTGGTCTGTGAGTTTTTGTTTGTAGGATTAAATGTCTCTGTGATATGGAAATTCAATTAAATGAAAACTAAGCGTATAACCACATGGAGTATAGGGCTACGAGTAAACACTTGAACACATACTTGAACTTCAAATGAAAAGGATACATGCATGAATCAGTGGAACGATTCGGCGAATTCCAACAAATAACTATATACTTAATGTGCTCTTCTGTTTTACGTACGTGATGACAGAAATAACATGGAACACCACGTTTTCGATAAACACTTAAAAAACTTAGAATTCAATTCAATTCCCACGTCTGAATAGATACAACCTAGACATTTGTTGCCCTGCCCTGCCCTCGAAACAAGCTTCTTAGGAGCCGTCTCAACTTTTTCTATCGTTTAGATCGTTTTGTACCTACTTTTATTCCGCGTACAAATTACTGTTTTGTAATCCTCTTTTTGGCTTAAGAGCCCAAAGAGAAAGAGACCAAATTGCGCCAACTTAAACAGAGACAGGTGCAATTACGTGCATTAGGGGATTTCTCCCTCGTTTTAGCCTCCATCTGGGACCGACTCTTGCTCCCATTACCTTTTGTCATTCATCCCGGCTTTCAGCAGCTCACCGACCGAGGCGACGGCAGGAAAATATCGCTCTTAAATTGCACTTAATGAAGCTGCATCATCACATTTTGCATTTCAGACATGCCTCCAACGAGAGGCAGAAAGGAGGAGGAAGGAGGCTGAATGGAGAGTGTTTGTCTGTGCCTGAGCCTCTGCCTGCCGCTGTAGTCACTCCCATTGGCATTTCTTTCCGCACGTGAGCAGATTCTTGACTCCGGAGGAACAATGGCAGAGCCACTTGCATTCAACGGACAAATGAGTGGAAATTATGCCAAGACACAGGCAATTAATAAGTGGAGAAGCCAGCTAAGTCCCCGCTCCCTCACCCCGTTCCACTCACCCCTCTGACTTTTGTCTTTGGCCACCTGCTGTTAGCCGCCTTCAATGATTACGGACACCTTCCAATCCCCCTTCTGTGAACCAGAGACAGAGTCGGAGACAGAACGAACCCGAAACCGAACCCGAACCCGACCCCGAGCACCATTCAGTCTCCAGTCTCATTTACATGCTTGCATTGAAGGCGTTGAGTGTTTGTTTGCCCACGGCAATACATAATAATCCCCGGCTGGCTTGCTCCCAGGCATGCACTGTACAAAATCTTAGATCCTAAATGGTCTTCCATCAGGATCCCTAGGACTCGGTTCAGACAGAGGTTAAGGTTAAGGTGGAACTATGGAACTGATTGCTGAGATTGATTGATTGATTGATTGATTGATGAGTCTGCAGGTTTTATTTCTTGGAATTTTTTCTATAATAATTTTCATTAAAATATGTATAATAAATACATAATCAATCAATTTTATCAATATTCTAAAATAAATACTTGCAAAGAATTTAAGCCAAGCATCTGTACATTTTCTTTTAACATTAAATTTCTCTGAGCGACGACAACGGCGTTCGCTCGTCTAATGTGGACTCGTTTTCCATTAAAATATTTAAGTATTAGGATACTCTTCTCTTGAGCTATTGTTCTGTTCCACAGGCTAGTTGTTGAACCTTTTTCCGAGTGCAAAAACGAGTCCCAGACCCAGAGCCAGACACGGCACAACCTGTACTTGGCGATTGCTTTGGCCCGGGCCGGGCCGGGCCGCCGTGGAATGTCAACTAATATGCATAAGTAGGCACGCAAAGTGGTTCTGGGTTCTGGGTTCTGGGATTGAAATTGGGCAAACACCGAAACTGTGACCCACAGCACACACACACACACACGCACTCACATATGGCATACAGACCGTCCAACACACACACACACACAGACACCCACAGAAACCCACTCACGTCAATCAATATAAACGCATTTTCATAATTAATCAATGCTGAATAATTCGTCAGACAGAGTTGGGCTATATTGTCGCGCAGCGAGAGGGAGCGAGACAGAGGGGATAAGAGTGCGCGTGTGGTGTGTGTGTGTGTGAGTGTGTCTATTGAGGTGTACATATGAATGTGTGTGTGTGTGTAAGAGAGGGAGCAATGGGGGGAGGGAGGAGTATTGTGTGGGGGAGTGTGCTAATAAGCAAATCTCAGAGGTTTGTTTTGGCTTTTGTCGGTCGCAGCAGCGGCTTTGTGGGTTACCGCATGAAATATCTATCCGAAGCCCACACACACGAGTTGGCAGGAGGGGCATCCGGGGCATCAGGGGCATCAGGGAATGGGGACCAAGCCAACTGTGAAAGCCATGTTTACACTAGGTCAGCCATAATTGATAGTGAAAGCCCATAAATAGATATTCGGGAGTGGAGAAATATACGAAATATACGATCTTATACGGTTTTCCATTAACGCCCGATGCAATGCCTGAAAATTCTTTAAAAAAAGGTAAAAACTCTTCGGGTAATCACTGGCGAACTCACCGAATACGAGTATTTCCCTTACGCGATCGTCTAATGTCACCAATGTCTCTCTATGCAATGTCGTCCATTCGATCCATGGGTACGGGTACGCTCGTAAAGCAATCATGGTGCAAGCGTGGCTCTCAAAACCTCATTAGCTCTCATTTGCCTCTCAGTTGAGCTCTCGCATTACAAAAATAATAATCGCAGCTCGGGGCAACTAAATGACTAAAGCATCGTTCATCCCAACTATGCCCCACATGTCGCATGCTCCCCCCTCCCTCCGTACCGCCCTCCCTTCCTCCTCATCCCCGTAGTCCCTTTTCCTGCCCCATATCGAGTGGCAGCGTCTCTTTGTGCGAGAGTGGAGTGCCATGTTCTGCGTACTATGTGTATTTAAAGATCATTAGTGTGCAATTTATATGTAGATATATATGTATGTATGTATGTAAGCCCGTACCGATACCAGTACACACAAAAATATATGAGTATATCGATTGCCACCAGTTGAGCGGGCCCAGGAGCTGTGTGGCGGCGGCATTGTTGAGCATGATTAAGAGGCTTCGATGGCAGCAGCGGATGCCAGCAGGAGGGGCACTGTTGGCAAGGGCTGGCGGTGGAGCCCGTGCGGTCGCTGGGGCTGAAGGTGGTGTCAAGGCCAAGCACCAAGCGCCAAGCGCCAAGACATGTGCTCGCCTGTACCTTAATCAAAGCCCAACAGGATGTGGGCCAGAGAAACCACAAAACGAAAATGGCAAAGTAATTGCAATTTAGCGTCTAATGATGAATGGGCGAAATCTGAGTTTAAGGACGAGTAAAACGTGTTCTTCCAGCGAGGAAAAAGTGTGTGTACTTATGGCGCACAGTTTAATCGAAAATTTATGAATTTTTAAAATCCCTTTTTTTCTTTCTTTTTGTTCTTCAATTTCCGCGCCTCCTTTGGTCTTCTCCCACTGTAAATATATATTTTCGACTTTCATACTTCTCTCATTCCGCCATATATCGATGTCAATTTACGGATAACGATCTAGATTCCATTAAATTTATAAAAAAAAAATACCTACTTTTGTCGCAGCAATTTTGCATATATTTGCATAAAAATAAAGGAGCTCGAGCTCGAGCTCGAGCCCGGGCCAGAGCCAGACCCAGAGCCCGATTCGATCCAGATAAAGAGCATTAAGTGCAGGGCCTCGCTCGAGCGGGGCAAAGGTTGCGGATTAAATTAATGTGGGGAAACAGGGACAGAAACAGAAGCAGAAACAGAAACAGGAGCAATGTGAGCAGCAGTTGCCTGCCACTCGCTCTAATGAAGCAGCTTCCACATATGCACGCATACGCTCACACACAGACACTCGCACTCACACTCGCACTCACACTCACGCATATTCATCCGCCGCTTCAGGGAAATAGCGAAAATTCCATGAAAACTGTGGCCCCTCTGGAGGCAGCAGCAAAAAACGAAGCAAAAGGCAGCCATAAATATTTTTCGAAATAAATTCTCGTTTACAAATTATGATTTTATGACTTTTTGATGGCGCCGCCACAAGCCCACACACTTACGCAATGCAAAAACACACACACACACAGACACAGACACAGACACAGACACATCGGGGCAATATATTTCCGCTCAGGGAGAGAGAGGGAGTGAGAACGGTGGCGACTCGAAGGCAAAACGCTTTACGTATTTATAGCCCCTTCACGCTGCCTGCCCTTTTGCCTTACATATCGATACAAAGGGCTCTTTCAAACCACCTCCACCACCACCACCCCTTTGCCCCCTTCACACACACAAAACTTTGCACATTTTGCATTAAAAAATTGGCACAAAAAACAAAGTGCGAAAAAACAAACCTTAAAGCGGCGCCCAACAGAAAAGTTATTACACAAAAGCGCGAAAAAAATTCGTTCGAGTTGAATGCAACTTCCATGTGTCTCTCTCTCTCTCACTCATTCTCTGTCCCTCGTCGCTCTTTCACTCTCTGGCTGTGTGTGTGCTGTAGCAGCTGCTGCCATTTCCCAGCCTTTCTCCTTTTCCCCCGATTTTTTTCTGCCTACTTTTAGGCGCATAATTTATGACCGCCCGGCATTAAATTAGCCAAAGCGCAGCATGAAAAATGGCAACGACGATGGCGACAAGCGACGTCCGGCGCTTATTAGGACCGACCGCCCAGTTGGCCGGGAAGATGATGGAGGTATCCAACCCCGCCCACCCTCCTGCCCCGGCACTGCGGCGGGAGAGGGGAGTAGAAGGCGTGACACACATCCGTACAAATAGTTTAAATCTCATTTGGTGCCAGGCCGTGCGGGGGCTAATAATACTCGTTTTTTGGCTTTGATTTAGTTGTCGCCAAAGGACCGGAAAGCAATGGGTATGTTTTGGGGTGGAGAGGCCATCATTAAGTGGGGTTTCACAAAAATAATACGATGGCCACTTCTCTGGATGTTCTGAGAATGAACATGCTTATGTTTCTGGGATATAAAGGACGATTTAGCCAATCTCCTGCGGCCAGTTGCTAAATAATTCAATTGAATTCAATAATTGGCCCGCTTTGATTCAGTGAATTCGAAACAATTCGATTTATTTGCTTTTGATTTTTGAAGTCCTTTATTTGGGATTTATTTCAAAATATGGCGGAGAAGGGTCAACCTTGATGGAGGAATTTGTTCAACATTTTTGGCATATTTGGGATTCAATTTAAAATTTCTTTTTAATTTGAAATCCGAAAAATATTGAAATTTGAGGGGAGAAATGGAATCCGCCATTTGGGATCGGATTCCGTATCTTTCAATTCCATTTCTGCAATATTCCTAAACCCAAAACACCACCATCGCTGGGAACGAGCCCTTGGAGGTTTTATGTGTATTTGTGCATTTTTCTTTTGTCTGTGTCTGTGTGTTTGCTTACAATTATGAGCGTGTTGATGACAACATCGCCAGCTTCTTGCCACAGCGTGCATCGTCCTTCGTCTCAAGCAGTCGCACACTTGGAAAAGTGTATATTTTTCGCCAGTCTGTGCAGCGAGGGCCTTGAGCCGAGAAGTATGCAGCGTTGCAATAATAATTACAAATGTTGCACAATAAATTGCAAAGCAAACAGACTTGACGCTGGCAGAGGTAGAGGCAGAGACAGAAGCAGAAGCAGGGACTATGGCAGTGGCAGCGATAGAAGGAGCAACAGTGGCAGTGGCAGTGGCAGCGACAAAATTACTTCCTGCTGAATCGTAAGCGGAAATGTACATACAAATGGCACTCACACACAAGCACAATCGTGGTAACAGGATGTGTCTGACTGGAGCAGCCACCGCCTTGGCCCGAGCTGGGGGCGTGAGCACGAGATCGGATACGGGCTGGCACCAGCCGTGTCACGGGCGCAGCTCCAGCGGGAATATTGCTCCGAGGAGTGGCATCTTGTCAAATAGAAAATCATAGGAAAAAGTCCCGCGGCGGCGACAAGATGCGTAATTGCAGAGCAGACTCCTTTGGCCGTCGCACTGTTGCTCTCTGCCAAGGCGGTGGAAGGATGTGGAAGGATGTGGCAGGATATGGAAGGATGTGTGCCCCAAATGCCACGGCTCTTTGCATTCCTCCATTGCAATGGTTTGCTGTGGTACAGCTGTTGTCGCCTCTCCGACCCGCTCCGCTCCCCTCCACCCAATCGCCTTCAGAGAATGCAATAAATCCTGGACTGGAAAACAATGACAAATGTTCTCTGCTCGTACTTCTGCTCCCTTTGTCAGGACGTGTGCCGGACATTGAATTTCATATCCGCTTATTGCCAACAATTCCCTGCAGCCCCTGTCATTCGCATGTCTAAGTGCAGACTCGATTGCGAGTCTGTCGCACATCATTGCCCATCGCCGGAGCTGCTCAATTAATACCTAGAAGGTTAGACAGTCTTAAGATGGAAAATATGCGGGATTTATAATAGAAATTACTGAAAAATATAGACACATCCTACCATTCCTCCTCAAACCCCACGTGGAACCAATTAAAGTTCCACAAATAGTCGCCAGTTGGCCAAGGAATGCACTCAGAGGACCCTACAAAAGATCGGCAGAATAAGGATAGATAATGCAAGCAATTTCATAGTCGGTACTTACTACATTTTTCCTACAAAAAACATGTAATACGGCCAGGTGGGATGGATGTTGGAGAGCACCTTGAAGAGGGCTTAGGCCAGGGCTTCGAAGGGATCGGCTGGGACGGCAAGGACTGATAGCTATTCCGCAGTCTTTCTCCAGCCTGGAGATGTCTCCAGAGAAACCGAATAGTGGAAGGTGCTGTTGATGTTTCGCGTTGCCTTGAGACTCAATCAGGGGCTTGCTGGCATTAACAAAAAATGGCAAAAGTATTCAAAAACCTAAAAGGATAACCACACTTGTCCGCATAAAACCCAAAGTAGCTCTCTTTTAGTTATTTAATTGCTGAATTACTCATCAAAGCTGCCTTCAACAATTTTTTGTAACTTTCGAATAAATTCTCTTTTCTTATAGCCTGCCAAGGCGGGTACCATGTAGATCCCAGAACTAGCAGCGAGTAGAAGTCAGAGTGGAATCATGGTGGAATCGTCGAGCCTGGGTCGGACCCCTCCGTCCGTCCAGCAGCCCATTCCGCAACAGAACTCGCCCTCGCCCTCCGGGCTGCGGTGTGGCAACATGGAAACGCGGGTGCGCGGAGCCTGGTATCGGGTCCTAGTCACCCTCGAAACGGACTTCCTGGCCGTCAGCCTGGACGAGTCGTGTGAGGCGGCGCAGCAGTCCAACGATGGACAATCGACCACGCTGAATGGCACCTTGGGGTGAGTAGCTGGACGGGGACTTCCTCGGAAGTGGCTTCGACGGGCTAAATCGTGGTCTTTTATCCAAATCCTGCAGAAGTAATCACAGTGGTGGAGGTGGAGGACCAGGTGGCGGAGGAGGCCCTGGTCAGAATGGCACCCTGCCCAGCTCCGCCTCCCTGCAGGGCATGAACATCCAGGACACCGAAGTAGATGGCTCGACCAACAACGACAACGGAGATCGGGAGCGGGAGCGGGATCTCTGCCTGAACAACAACAACAATGCCGGCGACGGGGGCGGCATGGATTTGTGCGACGTACCTGACCATGTGGCCAATCAAAAGCGCCATGTGCGCATCATCAAGTCGGACAACAACGGCCTGGGCATATCCATCAAGGGTGGCCGCGAGAACCGCATGCCCATCCTCATCTCGAAGATATTTCGGGGCATGGCCGCCGATCAGGCCAAGGGCCTCTACGTGGGCGACGCCATCCTGACCGTCAACGGAGAGGAGCTGCGCGACGCCACCCACGACGAGGCGGTGCGCGCCCTCAAGCGCTCCGGTCGCGTGGTGGATCTGGAAGGTAGGTGGAGGATACATCTGTTACTCTTTTAGCCAGAATGTCAAATTGTTATTTGCTTAAAACATTTTGTTCACTCAGCGATGGCTGGGGTGGGGAGGGCAGTGGAGGACGGTGCAAAAGGAAGAGCTTAAAAAATGCCATTGAGCGAGCCAAACTAACAAGTAAACTATGAGCGACAACGCGAGGGCGCAGCCACAGTGGGATGGAATGGACAAAACAGTGGAGAGTTTTCTGGATATGTGGATATCCGGATATCTGTATATCCGAGCATCTAAACAAATGACGAAAGTCTACAGAGTGTTATTAAGACTTTCTCCGATTATACAATATCCAACCGCAGCTAAACATTTCCACAATGTTTTTTGATGGAAAACTTGTTGTGTGATAAATTCGTGATAAATGGCATCTTCTTTGCCAGTCCCCGATGCTGCATAGATAACCTTTCCCGAACTTGTTCACCAATGATTAATTGACCCACAGATACGGACTGTTTTTGTTTTTGCCCTGTTTTTGTGGCATCCGTCCCATGGTGGAGCGGCGAACTGGAAGGCGGAACAGAGGGCTTAAGCGCAAATACATACGTGGGATTACTCAGCAAAACATGCGAGCTACTCTGCCTCTGCCTCTGTCTGTGCCTGTGCCTGTCCCTGTGATGCTGCCACTGCTACTGTTACTGCCACTGCCACTGCCACTGCCGTTGCAGCTGTGTACTGTTATAAATCCCCACCAGCAGCCAGCAGCCAGCACCCAGTAGCCAGCAGCCAGCAGCCAGCAGCCAAAAGCTCCCCCGGACTAAGTTTTCCCCCTCTCCCCTGTTGACTGTTAGCTGTTGACTGCCGTTAGTGGCGCTGGTTTGTTGGTTGGTTGGCTGGTTGGCTGGATGGCTGGATGGCTGGATGGTTGCTTGGCTCGTTGCTCGGTTTGTTTGCCCCCGCCCGGCAATGAGTAATGAGAAAAGTTTTCTTTCCATTTGATCAAATGGCCCAAAAATACATACATAGTTGTTGGTGGAGAGGAACAGATAGCTGGCAGGCAGTTTGTGGCGGGCGAGGAGTGGCAGGAGGCAGGGTGTGGATGCCACGCACCACATCTGAAACTCTTTGAGTGGCTGAGACATTGCGAAACTGAAATACGAGTATGCACATACATATGTACATACGTAAAGAAGGATTTATAGGTGATGAGAACAAACACAGAACTACGATGGAACACACAAGGAAGGAATCATCTAGTGGATCTAGTTTTATCGATTGCATCTCACCGTAAACTCAGTTGATCGGGATGGTAGCTACCTATCCACACAAGTGCATGGCACTTACGTGGCCCTCAGGTTATATTCCAGGAGGTTCTACGAGCTCGCCCCCTGTGGCTTCTGATCTAATAACAGGCCAAGCACATAACCGCACGGCCAGTGCATAATCATCCTCATAATCATTCCGATGTGTGTATAGAGAATGTGCTCCTCCTCGGGTGGGGGCGAGTGGACAATGCCTAATCAAAATGTTAAGGCAGAGTCGGGGCATCGCTTCCTGTTCAGAGCACAACACAATAAGCAATAGTAAGCATCAATTAGGCGATGTATGGGTGGAATATCCTTGCACACACACACACAGAGGGGTGGGGTGGAGCAGCAGGACAGCACAACAAGCACAATACATGTGCTTGCGCCCACCTTGTGGGCGTGACCCAATCACAATCCAAGCCATTTGGCATAAACAATGCAATGAACCATGCAGGACAATTTTGCTGAAACAACTTCCTCCTCTCTCTCTCTCTCTCTCTCTCTCGCTGGCTCTTAATCGAAGGGGAGCAGGAGCAGGAGCACCAGGCGGAGCAGTGGCAGGAATCCACTCTGACACAGCCAATTCCATTTCCTTGACACACACATTTCCGGTGCACCAGCTGCCCCAGCTGCTCCACCTCCACCTCCAACCCTACCTGCAAGAGACAACAGCAAACGCTTTTAATGTTCAGTTCAAATAGATATATATATTTCTCGAGTTTCTCAGTTGCAAGTTCCAGGGTCAGGTGAACCCCTATTAGATCCTCCTCAGGCGTTCGCTGCGAGAGCGTTGACGCGGCTGCTCGACAGCGAGGATAAGGCGACCGAACTGTGCGCCTCGGGATCCCAGGGGCAGCAGGATTAGGCGACCGCTGGCCAGCTCGTTGGCCAGGGATCCATCCAACCCCTCCAACTCCTCCTGCTCGCCCACCAGCTCCACCTGGGACTCTTCCAGATCCAGCTCGTTCTCGGGTTCGCTCAGCTCGGGGGCTCCATAGGTGGAGGCGGGCTTGGGACTGGGCGGTGGGCCGTAGGTGCCGGCTGGTGTGACCGCCTTGACCTCAACGTCTGTGGGGATTGGCTCCGGCTCCGGTTGATCCAGCTGGCGCGCCTCTTCCTCCCCCTGGCCCAGGGCAGGGACATCAGCAACAGGCTGCTGCCCATCAGCAGCAGCAGCGCCATCGGCGGCGAAGTCCTCGACAGCCTCGAGTACGGGCGGCTGAAAGTCCCGGGCAGGGGCCTGGGCCACTACCTCCACAGTGTCCTGGTCCTGCTGGTCGTCGGGAGCTCCATAGGTGTTGGCAGGCGTACGGAGAGCGACCTCCAATTCCGCTTCAGTGTCTGTTTCCGCTTCCTGCTGCTGTGCCACTTCGGTGGTGGTGGTCTCAGCATTCTCCAGAGTCTCCACGGCACTGGGAGTGGTTAGGGGTTCCGCCTCCAGCTTGGGCTGCTGCTCGCTGGGCAGGGCGAAGGGGATTCTGGGCCGAAAGCCAGCCGCTGGATAGGGCGTTGAGGCGTACTCCACCTGGCGCTGACTCTTCAGACGCCGCTGGGGCATGGCGGAGACGGTGGCCACGGCCAGGGCTGCGGCAAGGATCAGGATGGAAATGCTCTTCATGTTTCACGCTCTGCGATTGCTAACGGTTTGTGTCTGGCTGCTGTGGGTGCTCTCCTATTTATACATATGAATGGCATGCCCCGAATTCGTATGCTACTTTGCCTTCTGCCTTTTTGCCTTTTGCTCCATCCATGCCAATTCTACATCAGAATTCAGTAACGGTCGCAAGGCCGTCTTTAAGTTTCGAGTTTCGGCTGTGATAACTCTATGGCTCTGGCCCAGAGCTCTGCCCCGATGCAGTGCACAGTGGGAATGCGAATCGGATCGGATCGGATCGGGATGGAGTGGAGTGGAGTGGATTGGGGTGGGGACGAACGACAATTATTGGCGCATTTAAAAACGTATCGTAGCCCATCAAGCTCAATGTTAATGTCGCTTTAATATCAACAGCCCCAACTTAACTTAACCTTATCTCAGCCCAGCTCTGGCTCTGGCCCTCCCCAAAAACTCACGTCATCGTTGTCAACGTGCCTCGCATGCCACGCAGCTGACGCACGACAGAGTCACAGTTACAGTCAGGCTCTGACTCTGGCTCTGACTCTGACTCTCATTTAATTTGAACACCGCACATGTCCATGTGGGAGATGGGGACGGTGACGGTGCCGCAGCCGAGGCCCATGCTGATCCATTTCGCCGTCTCTTTCTGGGCCAAAATTTATATTGGCAGCTAAACTATGAGGTTGTGGCGTGGTGGAAAAGAAACGAAGAAGCATGGTGGAACATGGGTGCTCTATAGAAAATCGAAAAAGGCAAGAAAATTCTATAGTAGTACTATTCGAAAGTAAATGTGACTCATTTTATAGTTACCCAATATATACACATATCTATATATACATGATCTATAAATAATACATCAATTCATTTGGAATTTGAATATAAAGGAATTGAGATAAATAGGTTCCTCAAATACGTGCCAAAGCTTTTGGCTTTCCAAGGTAAACTCAATCTGAATCGTACCTATAAAAGCTAATATCTACGATAAATACCATGAATTTTGCTGCATTTTGTGATAGAGAACCGAAATGTAACCTTCTAGAATCTATAGTAGATGTTTTAAATGTTTCTAAATGCTAACGTATCTCCCTGGCGTAACCTTCTTCGCCGCCAAGCCCATGTACTCCTCTTCAGTTTGGTGCAATCGAATTTGCCTTCATTGCTCGTTTTGCTCGATTTGCTCGTTTTGTTGCCGCCTGAGTGTTTTGATTTTCGGCTGTCGGTTTGCGGTCGTTTCCATAATTTCAACGGTGTGTTCATTAAATTAAAGTGGCCCAGATCTATAGGCACGCAAAGTGGCGCAAATGTAATCACAATTTCAAAGGCCCGTAGCCATGGCGTGGGCATGGGGAACGACATGCTTAGCAGAGCTCAGAGCGCTATCCGTCGTCGCCGTCGCCTCCGTTGCCTAGGCTCTGCCCTGCCCTGCCCGCCCTGCCCAGCCCTCCACTGGCATCATCTCTTGATTCGAACTCCAATTTACAAGTTGGCCAAGTTGTTTGCCAACCTCCGCTGGCCGCTGTGCGCCCAACTTTGGCCCAAAGTATTTGCGCCCAGGCAGCCGTCTCATTGTAATTTAAATAAGCCAGGGGCTGGGCTGGATGGGATTGCAAGGGATGGGGTGGGGTGGGAGGGGATGACTGGCTATAACTGGATTCCAGCTCCAACTGCCAAATGTCAGCGACAGACTTCGGAGATGGCGTAGAAGGCGACGACAGTTGGATTTACTCTCCTGCCGCTTGCCTACCAAAAAGTCCATTAGCAATGGTTTTTACAACTTGGCACACATTCGTGGACCCACTCAGCCACCCACCTTCAACCACCAACCAACCGACCAGCCAGCCACCTCCTCAGTCCACCCAAGTGGATCCTACTTAACCAACCTGCCTCAGTCCTAGCCATGGTCCTGCCCCAGCTCTGCCCCTCCCGAGGAGCGCGTGAGATTTTACTCGCAAAACTTTTGCCCAAAGTTTGTTTTAACGCACGATTTGCCGAATTCCGAATGCCGCCTGCTGTTGATATCATATTCCGACTCGCCACGCCCACTGCACTGCACGGCTTGCCATTTGATTTATGCTTTTGGGCGGTGGACTGGTGGACTGGTGTACTGGTGGAATGGTGGATTTGCAGGATTTCGTTTTGTCGCTAAAGGTGTAAAAAAGTTTTTGGCTTGCCTGTGAATTGAGTGGCGAAGGGCCAAAAGGGAGGACGGAAAATTAACTGCTTTCGAGCAATAACACGATCGTAAAGATCTGGGATTTGGGGAGATTGTCAAGAGGGAAGGGCACAGTGAAATGAAATGAAACGAAGCACAAAAGTTTGCAGAGGCTTGAAATAATTGATGGAATTTTCAGACAAAATGATGATAGCTGAAAGTGGGCCTCAAATATTCCTAGTCTCTTAGGTCCTCTTAGTCGATGGTCAGAAATATTAATCTTTGCCATTACTCGACAAGTTTAGGGATGTACTAAAACGTGTCCTGGAAACCACAAACTTTCTTGCTATTTTAACAATGAACCAATCTATAAAGAAAAAATTATTTCGTATAAATCGGCAAGTGGGTTAAAAAGATATACCGGATTGACTTTTTTTTAACCTATTCAGATGAGCGGCACTGTATTTGTACATAGATCAGCATCAATAGCCGATTCGATTTGACAATCTCGATTTGTCGACATATCGATATCACCACATGATATCGCAATTCCAGCTTACTCAGTCTCTCCATCCCTCTCTCGCTGTCGCTCTTAGTCGTGGATGTGTGTGCCCCCTGTAAAAGTGGAGCGAGATAGCATAACAGTTGGTGCTATAAGAAGCGTGAGAGAGAAAGAGAGAGAGATGTAGCGGCATACAAAATAGTAGTGGAAAATGAAAACAGATAAAATATTTGAAAATTCGAATAGAATTCCATCATTTGATGGAAAGTGCAAGAATTAACATTCAAAAATAGCTAGCGGTCGTGGGTTCTCTCTTGCTCTCTTTGGGTTTCCCCCTCTCCCCGCGGAGAGGTAATAAATTTTGAACATTAAATTAATGATAGTAGATAATTTCAAAAATATCACAGAGGCCCCATTTAGAACCCATTTAAGTACGGCTAACTTCTCTCTGCGGATAGCTGGCAAAGCCGTTTGGCAAATATTGTTCTTTCTATCTTTGCAGACAAACATTCCCCAAGCATTTGTCGAAATAGCCCACATACCCAGAGCACTGGGCAAATCCTTGAGTTGAATGTTTCCTAATGCCATATTTATTTGCAAAATGTGAGCGGAAAATATTCATACTTAAGCACCTAACAATTGTGGCCTGCGGCATTTTCAGCCAACTTTTCCATAACTTGTTTGTTTTTCTAGAATTGTTTTTAGCACACACAAACATACACAGAGGGGAGCGAGGGGGTTGGGGTTGGGGGTGGTGCAACTTTATTTGCACTTAAATGCAAAAATTTACACAACTTATTACAGTTGTTGCTATTGCTGTTATAAACTTTTTCCCAGTGGCAATTGCGCTTCTCGTTTGGTCCTGTTTGCTCTCCAGTCCACTCCGAAATATCCGACGACCCACTGGGGTCTCCTCTGTCCGTCCGCTCGGGCTGCCTACCACTGCCACTCGCACTGCCACGCCCACGCCCACGCTCACGCCCACTGCCACTCCGACTGCCGCTCTTCCAAGCATCATCAGACTGTGCGCCTGCCGCTATGCAACATTTTTTGCCACTGTTTGTTTGTCGTCGGTTGCATATTTGTGAATGTAAATGTTTGCAGAACTCCGCCAGAGACTGCTCTGGCGGCTTCCACTCTTAACCCTTTAGTGCAACGTAAATGCCAAGCAATTAGCAAGTTGGTGGGCCTGATACCCCACACCTTTCCACATCCCCATCGCCATCTCCAACCCCATCTCGTTGTGGTCCCGTCCGCTCTAATTAGTTGAGCCAAACACACGAATCGAGTCGGACAAACCGTCGCCGCTGATGCTGACGCTATCGGTGCCCACCGGTGCGCTGGGGGCTGGGGGCTGGGGACTGGGGGCGGGGGGCGGGGGCTGGCCGATGGCATTAAGTGTGAAAATTGAATTTCCAAATCACTCGACGACATCGTCGGGCAACAGCAAACGGAAATTGTGCAAATGCTGTGGGTGGAATGCCGAGTGGGTGCCGTTTCCCAGTTAGAAATGCGACTACGACAGCGACAGTTTACCTGTTCCCGGCCACAGGCACAAGCAAAGCACCTGGCATCGTCATCAGCATTTGCATAGAGGCTGCACAGTGGTGCACAGGCCATCTAAAACGCTCCACGAAATTCTGCTACGAAATAATACTCTGTGGAAATCTCGATGTACGTTGCTGGGTCTCCCAGCTCCATTACATCTAGCCAAATGTTGAGACGGTAATCTAGAATTAGGCCTCGACTTGTACCAGTGTTCGGGGAAGTTTTGTCGGCTGTCGTGAGGCTTTGGGTGTGCAAATCGAATAAAAATGGAGCGGAAACTCTAATGAATTTATGCTGCAACGTTTGCCAAGACTTCCACACCAACAGCGCTAACGAGAACGACAACGACAACGACAACGACATCGGAGTCGTCTCCGACTGATTGAATGCGCTGTGTTTGTGTGCTTGTGTGCTTGTGCGATTGTGTGTCTGTGGCAGAGAGTTGTTGACGACGCCACACATCCTTTTCTGCGGCCGCATCCATATTCATGTGATTTCCATATCATTCGATCCCCGTATCCGGTTACTATATTTGTGTGCCTCTGTGTGGTATTTTTCCAGTTAAATTCCTACGCGAAGTGACGCCCTACTTTCGGAAGGCGAGCATCATCTCGGAGGTCGGATGGGAGCTGCAGCGCGCCTTCCTCTGCCCGCTGGGACCGGGCGTGCCCACCTCCCCGCCCGCACCAAAGACAACGCCGCGCGCGGACACGCGCTACATCCCCCTACAACTGACGCATCTGGCCAGGAATCTCAAGTACATCGATCCGGGTAAGTCCATCCAACGGAAACAGCTCATGCTCAGCCCTGCCCAGCCTCTATTCTATTCTCATCCCATCCCATTCCCCAGAGAACCGCTGCTTCGAGCTCCACTCGCCGGACGGAGTGCACTCGTGCATTCTGCGTGCGGCGGATTCTGCGGAGGCTCTGGTCTGGTTCAATGCACTGCACTCGGCGATGGGCAGCAGCACGCAACGGGCCCTGGCCGAGGCCAATCGGGCGCTGACCAATCTCATCGGCGAACTGAAGCACATCGGCTGGCTGAGCAAGCGCCTGAACGGAGGCAGCTCGGGCAGTGCCGGAGGCGGCGGAGGGAGTGGCAGTGGGGCAGCCAGCGGCGGCAGCGGCACCTCCAACAGCGGAGTGGCCGGCGAGCTGGTAAGTGTAAGTTCATCATTCCCTTTCCTAACTCAAAGTAGCAATCAGTAGCATGTCCTTTTCCTGAAGGATACGAGTCAACTACATTCATTAATATCCGATGATCGTTTACAGATCGGTAGATAATAGCCCAATATATGATTTTCAATACAAATGTCATCCACAGCCCAGCGGTCGTTCCAGCTCCGAGAGTTCGGATGAAAGTGACAAGTGGCTGCCCATATTTGTGGCCGTGACAGAGCGGGAGTTTCGGATATACGAGAGTGCCCCTTGGTCCGTGGAGGCCTGGAGTCGTCCCCTCGAGATCTATGCCTTGGCCACAACGCGTCTCGCCGGAGCCGGGAACAATTCTTCGCTGAATGTAAGTGCCCGCACAACCTTTTCCTATCATCCGCCTTGTGGAAACCGTACGATGTGTTTTCTCTTTCAGGGCCAACAGACAACGGTGTTTTGTGTGCGCTGCGGCACCGCTCGGGGAGTGCTCGTCTATTGGCTGCGATCGGAGACGCATCGCGACATGGCCGCCTGGGCCCGGGCCTTGGTGCAGGGCTCCCACCAGGCTGTCAACTATCAGAGGGAGTTCTCCTTTCGCTGCCTCTACCAGGGCCGCCAGTGTCAATTGGTTGTGCACATCAATCGTGGCTTTTTCCTGTACGATTGCGGGGGCTTTGCCCCCACAACGCCAACGGCGGCGGTGGCCGCCACCAAAACACAGCTCTGGCAGTTTGCCTTCGACAAGCTAAAGGGCTCGGCGGATGATGGCGCGCGGATGTTGTATCTGGATTTCGGTGATGATGGAGAGATTGTAAGTGCACAAGACTTGGCTTTCCCACCAATTGGATACTAATTAGCTGTTTGCTGTTTGCTATTTCTCCCCTGCAGGAACTGGACATGGAGTGCTGCCCCAAGCCGGTTGTCTTTGTCGTGCACAATTGTCTGTCTGCCAAGGTTCATAATATTGCCTAGAATGCGGCTCAATTGGATGGATCTAATCTACATATGATATAAATGTTGATATTTTAGGTGTAATGGAACTTTGTTACAATTTTCGACTCTATTTTGATCGTGTACATTTGTTAACCTACATATCTTCAAATGTTTAAGATTCTTCAAGCTGTCCTACTCTAAGGTCCTCATTAATTTGTGTTAATAACGTTTCACTCTTTGTAGGCGTGTAAAAGATTGCAATATTTTGTTAACTCTGTCAATTAGGTAAGATTATGAAAAAGAGAGCGTTCGAGGGGAGAGATGAAAGTTATTATATATTTAGGGTTTTTTTTTCGCAGAAATTTCTATAAAATTGTAACTTCTATTATGCCTAAAATAGAAACCATTATAGAAATTATAGAGTCCTTCCAGCAAACGACTTAGTTAATTAGTAGGGAAAGGGAAGTAAGGAAAAGGACAGAGGTATGCAGTTGAGCATTTTGTGCTTCCTGATGGCTATGGGAATGGAATAGATTAGTTTGGTAGGTACGTACATATAGCAGGCGAGAAGGCGAATGTAACACAAAGTAGATTTTTTTGAAAAAATAAACGAAAAACCAATGCAAATACCGAGAAGCACAAACCAAAAAAAAAAAAAACACAAAACAAAACAACAAAAAAAAACCGTACAGAAGTGAGGGGGAAACCCGAAAAGCAAAACTGAAAAGAACTTTATTTAAATTGTAAGTAGACGTAAATTCATTTTATACGTGTGTCATATACACAGGATAACATCTAAAGAAGGATCGAAAGGAACGAAATCTAAAGCTAAATCTAATCTATCTAAATTAACAACATTTGCATAAACGTTGAACAATAATTATTGTAATTGTACTTAACTAATTGTATCTTGTACTTGTACCATGTATCTAGTATCTTGTATCTTGTATCTAAACGAAGCACACATATCTCGATGCCCGCTACCAGGAGGCGTCGATATCGATCATGGACTAAACTCCCCAACTCAACTATATCTGTATACCAGTCGTATAGGAATCCGTACATACATACATTCATACATAGATACGTACTCGTACATACATGCAAACATATGTGCATTCCAGGCCATTTCTCTACTCCCCAAAATCTTCATGTACAAGCCATCTATCATATTCAATTATTATACATACATTTATATATACATACGAGTATCGGTAAAACGCCACATAATCATTTTATGAAATTGAAAATTTCGCTATAAACGCAAGAACAACTACAACAACAACAACAACATCAACCAACAACCAAAAGAAAACGAACCGAACGACAGAAATCAATAAGAACATAACAAAACATAAGACGTACAATATTTTTAACGTAAGTAGTGTTGAATCTTCGATAATAAACTTATATAAATAAATATATATATATATATATATATATAAAATACCATACAAATTGCCTTTTTTGTGGGTTTTACTTTCAAGCTGAGTTTTATAATGGGAGAAAAGCTTCCAAGGCGATAATAGTATGCATTTATACTTAGATTTGAGACAATAAAAATACATATATTCTCAAATTGTTAGCAACACGATGAACGATCTTGGTTCCACTCGAATGTTATCCGACATGGACTGATAATAATGAAACGTACGTCAATCGAAGTGACTATGGCCATTCACTTATGGCAAATTTCCACAGCGATAAACGTCTTTTGCATCATCCGGAGAATGTGCTCTAGGGGAACTCTGGTGGCGGCAAACATGGCTGATTCTGAGGACCAATATTCCATTTGACAAAACTTTACAGACTACAACCACCCGTAAACCTATCGACCTGCGATAGCCGACAGTAAACCACAAGAATCTATCAAACATCAAACGTATAAAGTTTCCTCAAATATGTACTATATTTACGAGTGTGTACATATGCATGTCTTTGGATCTGGAGGCAATCAATGAACTTTTGGCAGCCTGTTGCTGTTGCTGCCCTCGGAGCACACATTTATTTCCTGCATATGAATTTATTTTCAATTTTATCATTTCCCATTTAAGACGAAAACAAAGTCACCCAAGAACGTGACTAGCATGTCCAACAGCTGGCACGGTCAAGCCACTAACTTTGCTCATCGCAAAGTTAAGCCAACAAAACTACATACACACACACACACACGATACACACACCCACAAACACACGCACACATACCTATATGTACACAGAAGTATAGGCGAAAATGTAAAGTGACTTTTTGGGGTTGGGTCGGGCTGGCACTCTGACCATCGTTGCGGTCAATGGGTGCCCAGGCCAGGCCGGGCCGGGCTTGAGGTGTAACGACCCAGGCCCGGCCCGGGCGTTTCTGGCCTCCTTCAATGCCGCAGAATACACTCGGACACAAATGGAACCGAACCTACTGGTGGAATTACATTTCCGGCTTTTGGTGGCTTGCGGAAGTTTCGCATCAAATTAAATGCTCAGGGTTAGAATTATGACAGCTCCCGAATTGGGGGGGAACTGGATCCAAGTACGAGTATAAATACGCCTGGGCGGAAAATATTGCCATCAAATCGTAAACCAATTGAGCAGCGAACATGTCGAAAGGATGGGGAATGTCCGCCATACTAGTGCTCTGCCTGGCTCTGGCTCTGGTCCAGGCAGCTGTTATACGTCCTGAGCTCGAGCCCGAGCTCGAGCCCGAGCAGGAGACCACCACCAGATTGAGCTTGGAGGCAGATGTGACCACCGAAGAAGCCACTACGTTGGCCAGTCCCGCTTTGAGTCGCGATGAGGAGGCAAGCATACTGATTGACCCGGCCCCAGGAACCCTTCAGGAGGATGTTGCACCCCAACAGAGGTCTGGGAAGCTCCTCCTGCTGAGCACCCCATCCAAGCGAACCGTGGAGATTGAACGTCAGCTGGAGGAGCAGGACGAGGGAGAGGATAGCAAGGCGGACGCTGTAGAGAGTGAGGCAGCAACCGCCACCACGCCACACACCACCGCAGATGAACAGACCACAGACAGCCAGGACAGTCCCACCACCGAGCGCAGCGAGTCGGAGGAAACCACAACTCCGGCCACAACAAAACTGTTTGCCATCGAGGGCACATTCGCTGGCGGGGACGCACCCCAGCCGAATGTGGCCGTATCCCTGGCTCAGGACTCTGTGAACTCCACAGTTTCGATTGCCGAACAGCCGCAGGTGCCCGGCGACAACAATGCGGCCGTAGAGCTGGCCCTCGTAGAACCGGAGGCCGAGTACGTGCTGGTTGAGGGCGGCCACCAAGACGAGCTGGACCTTCAGCTGGGGAGCTTCACGCACATTGATAGCGATGTTCACTTGCAGCCAGTGGTCCACTCGGTGGAAATCGTCCCCACCAGCTTCGATGATCCTTTGATTGTCAATTACGTGCACAATTTGCGATGACTCCGAATGAGAGATGGGGCTGGGGCTGGGGCTGGGGATGGAATCAATTAGCAAGCTCCGGTTGTCTCTTTGATGATGTTAAAGTTGATGTTTGTTTATAGTTGAAGTTTTAATGGTTTGTCGAACATATATTCTCAGTAGTGGAGCTGGAACGATAACGCAGAAAATTTGCGAAAAAAAATTATGATTAAGAAATGATTTTTTTTTTTTTTGAGTATAGTTTATTTATTATTGGAAATCTGTTTTGATTCTATGGATTTATTTGAAACAATAAAATGTTGAAATCATGCTAATAATATTATTTTATTCTTTTTGATATATTTATCCATAAATATTTAGTCCGCATTAATAATATTCGCTTAATCATTCATTCATTGTAGAGTAAGAATCTATAATAATATTTTTTAAAGATTGCTCTTTGCTAATATTCCTGTTCAACAAGTCCTATTTGAAAATACATAATTCAAGTCGAATGGTCTCAGTCGCACTCTCGTCTCTCCACTTAAGCCTCCAAGGAAAGCACTCGCATCCTCGTTATTCAATTTGAATGTTCCATGGGGCAGAAGGAGAGAAGTAACAGAGGGGATTGGAGGGACTTGGAGACGACCCACGTCCTTTCGCATGCCACGCACGTTTCACGGCTAAAACTTTGCACATCCGCACGTCAAATTTAATACGGATGCTTGGAGGTAAAACTCTCCCAGAAGCCTCCCTCCCCCGACCACGACTAGATCCGGCGTACTCTGAAGAAGAGCTGTTTGGCTGTTGACTCCGCTGGGGCTGTCGTTGTCCCTGTCGCAAGGCAACAATATCGAACAACAATATTTAACAAAACATTCAATGACGTTAGACAAACAAAATTCAGAACGTGCCCGAACTTCCGGTGAAGATGGCAATGATAAAGACTGATGACGATATCATTTGAATGCTCGTTCTCGTACTGGCATACAGAAAATGTCTGATTTTTTAATTGCCAAGGGGCTTTAGAGTAGTATTTTGATCCCCATATGAATGGGATTTAATTTTTGGATTCAGATTTAGAAGGATACACACTTGAAAAAACATTTATTTTAGGTGTAAATAACATTAGACAAAAATTTATTTATTCCAAATACAAAAAAAAAGAAAACCTATAAATACTGAACTTTTAACAATAAAGAAGGTGTTTCTATAACATACTAGATGCTATATATACCAGATGGATTCTCACCAGCGTTGCTCCACATGCGTAGTGTAGACGAATCCCCGCCTCGGGGCCTCCATTAGCGGCTGGGAGCGCAGGGGAATGGCCACTGGTATGGAGCTCGGTGGCTTGGGAGCTCTGGCCACGAGGACAGCCGGTCCCAGATTTGCGGTGATCACCACACTCTCCGAGTCCGGCTCATCCTTGGACCCAGGCTCTGGGGTGGGCATCAGGGGATTGGTGCTTACCCCGCAGACCGGATGATCGGCATTGCTGTCGGTGGAATTGCTGGCTAGGGATTCCTCGGGCTGCTGCTGCTGCTGTTGCTCCGCATTCTCCTCAGTGGGCAGGCGGAAGGCGCGGCTTGGACGATATCCCGCGGGCGGATAGGGAGCCCTGACAAAGGCCCTGCCCGAGCGGAGACTGTTATCGGGTGTAGGAGGAGCTGTGGTGGTGGTATCTAGTAAGGTTGAGTCCCATGTTGTAGTGGTGCTCCAGTCGGCGGACTCCGTAGTACTAGTCGAAGCATCCTCAATGGGCACCTCCGTTGTTGTAGTCTCTGCACCCAAGCCGGATCCCTCACTGGGAGCTGCGACGCCGTCGGCGTCGGTCTCGACCTCCCCTGGAAGCCAGAAGGAACGTCCCTGCGGCCGATAGCCTGCTGCTGGATACGGCGTTGGCTTCAACTCCCTCACCTGGGCCGCCGCCTCATCCTCCTGCACACTAACAGCATAGCGATTGATCCGTATCTGACGGGCCTGGACATAACTTCCGGCCGTAAGGCACACGATGAGGGTAAGGAGGAGCCACTGCATGCTGAACATTGATCTCGGTCTGGACTTAGACCCAACTGAATTGAGCTTCGGCTGGAGGTGCCGTTTTTATACAACGTTCTCGGTGGCTGGCTGTCTAAGGTCTCCAATGAAAGCGAGAGTCGTCCCGGGGAATATAGATATGAAGCTTCTATATCGACATCGACAACGACAACGACAACGACATCGATTAGGCGCACGGCTATCACATTTAATGATTTATTTTGTATGGTTGGTTTTTTTGTCTCTGGCTTTTGCTCGGCCTGCCACGTCCACCGCCTACTCATCCCATCCCCCCACTGTTCGCCGACCGCTGTCCACGTCCTCTGTCCACTGTCCACGTCCGATTTGTCGCCATGTTCTATGAAAATTAAATGCGTTTCGTACGTGACACGCAGTCCAAATGCCATCCAACTCTAAGCAATTGAAAGCGAAAACCAACATCCAGCCAGCAAATAAAGATAGCCGCTGTCGACTGTACTGTTGTTGTCAATTGCATTATGCTGGAATTGTCAGTTTGAGTGTTAGAATTTTTGATTAAACACTTATAATCGATATTTATGCGATCGACGACTTAACGATGAGGTGACCGCCAAGGCCAGGAGAACTATCCATGTCACGTCCTAAGCGAGCCCTGGGCCAGCATCATTAAGTCAATTGGATGGGGATATGAAGGATATACTTATCTAAGTAAGATTCCTTAACTTTTCTTCTCATATACCTTTGCCGGGCGTAGATATGGCCATACAATACGAACAATAAACAGAGGAACCACCGGCCGAAAAACAAGTCTTTGTTTTGTATTTCCATTCGAAAATAATAAAAATAATGAAAAAGCAAAATTGTGAAATTAAAATATTTTAATTTGAATAGTAATATTCTTATAATGACAACAAATATAAAATATGGTTTAAAAGATATAAGCCAAAATATGACCTGACGTTAAGTTGCCAAAAAAAGTGGTTTTTGAGGTTGGGGTCCTCAAAACTACAAAACTCTGCGACTTGGGTAACACTATCTGTATACCATTTCTTCTAAGCTATTAAATATGAAAAGCCTTTCATTAATTTCCAACCATTTTCGCGGAAATTCCATTACGGGAATCCCTTTTCCCTTTCTTCTACGAAGAACCTTAGGGATAGTTTTGGGAATAATTATTATTCGTATTATCAGTACTGTACAGCTTGATGCAGTTAGAATATGTACCCGTATGTCTGCTTAAGCCCAATTGGATGAACAACTTGTTACAGTTTCATGGCAAGCTGTAAGATTTAATAGAGGCGGTATAAGAGATTTATGGCCGCTACATTAATAGCACCCTCTCTCACATTAAGAGCATTTTAATTTTGAACGAAGTCGAATCAAAGCAGCACAGATCCCGCATTCGCTTCGAATTTAGATTGATTAATGTCGGAACTATAAATATCGACTTCCAGACCCTCGACTTGGGCTGATTCGGCGGCTCCTGCTACTTCTTTCTTGTCACGTCGTTGGCGCATAAAGACGCCGCAGACATCGACATCGACGGCGACGGCGATCAGGGAACTGAGAATAGTGCCGACGTCAGAGCGTAGGCCCAAAAAAGGATGCCTATGCTGGGTCCATGCGTAGCACACTAAACAGTTCCACATTAGCGGAATGTCCATTAGTGTCCAGACATGGTCCTACCTATAAAAGCGCCCATCGCAGCTGACCAAAGCATCAGTCGTTGGTTCAGTTCCTTCCAGACAGACATACGCATCACTCACGCATCTTGCATCCACCATGGCCAAGTTCCTAGTGCTCCTCCTCGTGATCGCCCTCAGCCTGTTGTCCCTGAGTGATGCTCAGCGGTACTCCCAGCGCCTGAGCCGCGGACGTTCCCGCTACTCGGCCCGCCAGGAGCTGGCCCCAGCGGCTGCTGGGGATGTGGATGCCGTCACTCCGTATCCCTCTGCTGACGAATTGAAGCCCGAGGTGCCCTTCGATGAGGCGGCCGCTCCTGCCGCACTTGATCCCACCCCAGATGCCGTCTATGGACCTCCCGATGCCGCACCCAACAGTGTCCCCGATGAGGTTTACGGTCCCCCCGATGTCACCGGCAACGATCTGCCCGCTGCCGACATTCCTGCGGAGCAACAAGCTCGCCTGGTGGCCGCCAGGCGCGCTGCCAACTATCGCCGGGCCGGACAACCCGTGGCTTATCGCCGGGCTGTCTCCGCTGCGGCACGTCCGGCCAAGCTGAGTGCTGCCCGCTCCGTTGTGAGACGTTTCTAGATGCGGTCTCTCCCCGTCCCTCATTTGCATACGAGCTGCCCGGGCTAGGCAGTCGTTCAGTCAGATGTTATACCCGGTACAATCCCAAAACCCATGACGATCCAGCGATCCACAATGATACACACACTCTCACACCCATACCATGCAGAGTCACTCTCTCAGATACACCACACCACTGAACAATATCTCTCGATTGTAAGCAGATGCAAATAAAATATGTTTGGGAAAACATAGCCAGAAGGTTCTCTCTCGCCAGACATTCCAGTGATTCATTCCGCGTCAAATGTATTCTGTGATAGAGCGGAAGGTAAATTCGGTAGACGCTACCAAAAAAATTGCTTGGAGGAGGTGGTAACCGGTTTCAGGACGCACCGCACCGCACGCGTCACACTGTGGACGACGATGATGACGAACCATACCGCAAAAATAATTGCTGCAGGTTGGGAATGGCCCAACCACAAAGAAAAACAAGAAAGTTCAGTATTTTTTTGGGGAAACACGAGTCGGAAATACTCTAACATGTAATGAGTATTTTAGAGAAATATATAGAAAAGAGTATCTATAATTCTTGGTAAAATGATAACAATTTGATCGTATTATCAGAATAGTTATCGGTGTTATCTTGAAGATCTAATCTAACCAAATCAATACGGAATCCCTGTGGAAATTCAACATTTTATCGAACAGATTTCGTGTCAAAAAAATCAAACAACCCTCACGAAAGAGTATGAATAAGACAATGGGGAGCAGCAGTGCGGTTCATCCCATCATCTTTCCTAGTAAAAGGCAAATGCAAGTAAACAAATTGAGCCATGAATCGAAATAATTCCCAGAGAGAGAGTTTATTGTAAACGGGGGGATGGGGATCCATTACAATCGACTGATAAGCCAGTGCTCAGAGACAGAGCCCGAACTTGGACTCGCCTAGCAGCTTATGCGAGTGTGTTTGTATGTATGTCTGAGTCTGAGTCTGAGTTACGGCAGATATTGAGATTGAGACTGAAACTGAACAGAGATGCTGATTATTTAAGTCATCTCCGAAGCGGCCGATGCTCAGTTGACGGAGCACTGGAGACAAGTGAGGATCGCGGGGAACCGATCAGAGCCGAGACAGAAAAATTTCAAAAGAGAAAGAGTGAAATTGAAAAGCCATTGCCTTTGCAAAAATGATGAAGTGGATTTTTGTTGTGATGATCGCGTCTCTACTAGCAGTAGCCCAGGCCCAACGACCTGCCTTTGCAGGCATGCGTCCACCTGGTGGCCTAAGTCAGAAGGACAAGTACCATGCCACGCAGAATACGGCCGTGGAGAACATCACCGGAGTGGATATAGTTACGAGATTCGGCGAACCCTCACCCACCCAGCAGACACCCATCATCAATTTAGCCCATGGTGAAGTTCAAAGACCGCCAATTGGAGTCCCCCTAGTGCTGCCCATCAGTGCCTACGTTCCCGACACGCAGCCATCACGTCCAGCCGTTCCAACCGTGGTCAATCGCTTTGGCGAAGCGGATGCCAGCTCGCCTTTTCCAACAGCTGGTGCTCCCTTCTTCACTGCCAGCTCGCCTGTTCCCACTGCTGGTGCCCCAATCTTCAGTGCCAGCTCCGGCTCCGGCTCCAGCTCCAGCTCAAGCTCCCTCGTTCCAGCAGCCAGTGCTCCTGCACCGATTCCAGCAGCCAATCCTTCTGCCGCCGCCCTCCCAATTGATGCCCATGGCGACCAGGAGTATGTGAATCACCTAAGTAGCCTGCCCGTGGAGAACCAGCCATTCTGGTTCATCAACTATCAGCACATTGAGGCTTTGAGGAATAGCTCCAGGCCAAATGTGGGAGCTCTGGAGACGCGGGGATCTTTCTTTGGCGGCTAAAACTTGAATCGTAATTTTTCAAACTTTTCGCTTAGTTTATACGTGTGTGTGTTAATATGAGAAATTATGTGTATATTTATTTATTTTTGTATATATCTATTTTTTTTTTTTTGCATAAAAAGATACTTTTTTGGAAGTCTTGGCGTGTTTATTTGAGTCAATATGATGAGGGGGTTTTCATGGCGTGAGATAACCTTTGACTGCGGGGAATACACTCAACATCTCTGTCTGTCTTTGAATTTTAAATGAGAGGTTGATTAATGATTGCCTAGATTCGCATGAGTTGAGTGAGAATTGTACTGATATTTATATACATATATGATTTAAATTTCGCACTTTAATCTATAAACACAAATGCATTTGCTATCTGCTATCAACTACCTTACACAGTAAATCATCGCTTAACAGAGGCATATCATTAGCGCTCAACTATACATTTAAGATGTACATATACCACACGTGTACGAGTATACTTCACGATAAAATGAAAAGTATGTATCGCTTACATAACACACAGCTCTTATCAGAGCCCTGCACCCGTACTTGTACTCATATGAGGCTCAAAAGCATGGGGAAAAGCATGGGGGAGAAACATTAAGGGAAAGGCATTAAAAATGCATTGAACAGAGTAGCACAAAAGCAGGTAAAAGAGCAACAAATCGCAGTCAAAGTGTGCGTATAAGAAGAAACCCTTCAACCGCTGAAAAGGCAGCTCGAACGTCGAGGATGTCGAGGGAGAAGCTATCAGGAGCAGCCAGCAGTACAAGCAAAAGGTGAGGCTGAGGTGAGCTATTGTTAAAGGCCAATATGTTGTGGTAAGCGGAAAAGCCTCTGCTTTGAGTGATGCTGCGGGGAAAGTGGAGACTATTGTTCGGTAAAATTAGCCTTATGGGTGAATGGGAACTAGAAAGTGAAGTGAATCCCTTCATGATTTCAGGATATTCAGATTTCTAGCTCATCTTCATGGTCATACATGCTTTGCCCTTAAAATTGTATTGGATATCCCCTTAGCTCCCATCAAGATCATAATCGAATCATTCCATTACCAAACATATTGTATATTTCTAATCACAAAAAAAAAGATGCATAACAATCAATTCTAATTCACGTGAGATTTACCAGCCAAATTGCTGGGGAGCTGCAGTGTAGGCAAGGATGTAGGGTTGCTGCTGGGCTCCGACATAGTAGACCTGGGGTGCGGCCAGAGCAGGAAGGGGGGCGACAGCCTCCTCCACTGGCAATTCCTCGAGGCGGGACGTGCGCTGAAGCTGACGCTGCCGCTTGGCGGGTGCCACCTGGAGCTTGGCCAATCTCTGGCGGCTTCGCAGGCGGGCAGGAGCTGAGGCAACCGTTGGGGTGGTAACCTCCAGGGAGCTCTCCTCGGTGTCGACTTCCTCGGCCTCGGGGTTCGGCTCAGAGTTATCCTCTGGCAAGGCATTTGCATTCACATTCAGATCAACATCGGCATCCTGGGGCGCTCCATAGGTGAGTGCTGGCTCTTCTGGGGCTGGTTTTAGATCAGCAGCCGCAGGGTATGGAGTGGGCAGCACCTCCTGCCTGGCGAAGGACACCTGCCGCAGGCGACCAAATCGAAGACGGCGAGATGGCGCCTGTGCCCCACAGCTGACGGCCAAGATGGCCAGGAGAAGGAGCGAGCCAATGAGCTGGTAGCGTGCCATGATCGTGTGAGTTTCTGCTGAGCTTTGTTGCGGATCGTATATGGAGCTTTAACTTTTATAGTTGGCCCACTGTGGCCCCGTCCCGTCGCAGGCGATTCTAGACCAGCCCCACAACGTCGTGCATATCAAGCAGACTTGAAACTTTACTGAAAGACTATTTGAAAGCCAAGCAGGCGCCACGCAGTGGAGCCGCAGTGGAGCCGCAGGGGGAAATGATTGGTATTCAAAAATCGATGCCGAAAATTCAATGGAAACTGTTATCGAAAATTGTACCCAGTGGAAGTCTTCTGCCGCCAATGTACTGTTGGGCCCAGCTAAAGTCAAAGTTAAGTGGCCAGCAATGTTTAATAGCCAATTGTTATGGCTTAGACATGGGCCCTTGACTAAATATTGTCACGTCGATAAGCCATCGCAAGGGTGTCCCTCGGAGTGCCAAATATGAGTGGCCAAAAATAATAGTTCGGTGTATAAAAACCCCCCGATGCCAACTGACTGACAACATTCTAAGATCACTCGACAACAGCTCAACATGGCCTACAAGTTTACCTGCTCGCTGCTCCTCCTCGCCGTCGTTGCCTCAGTGGCCCTGGCGGAGCCGGCCAGATTCCGCGGCCGCTCATCCCGCTTCCAGCTGGCCCGCCAGGAAGAGGCACCGCAGGACCCAGCGGCACCTGGTGCGGACCCCTCTCTTGATGTGGCCCCCACTCCAGCCTCGGCGCCCTATCCACCAGCGGGTGTTACTCCCGAGGTGCCCTTTGACCTGCCCACGGAGACAGAGGCCCAGCCAGATCTGACATATGGTCCGCCCGCCGAGCCGGACAACACGTACGGACCCCCGGCCGAGCCGGACAACACATACGGACCACCCGCCGAGCCGGACAACACCTATGGACCACCTGCTGACGCTGCTCCAGCGGATCAGGCCGCAGTGGATGATGCCTTAGCTGCCGAGCCCATTCCCGCCAGTCTGATCCAGCCACGCAACAGCCGCCTCCGCAGTCGCCGTCCAGTGCCGGAGAAGCTCCGCTCCGCACAGATCGTACGCTCCAGGCCTGTTCTGGTGTACACCATCTGAGGCGTGGAGTATCTTTTTTTCAAGGACTTTTTTTTTATCCGAATCGTACCCAATGGAAGCATTAGGATTACACATTAGGATTTATTGTTGAATAATAAATAATCAAGTAATTGTTGAGTATTTTAAAAATACTATGTAAGAAATTCTTTTGGGTTGAGAGAAGGGTAAAGACAAGATTATGTTGAGCATTACCCTATCAGTCGAAGAACTGAGGCATTATTTGTTACAAATTGGATGTAAAAAGTCTAGCAATCAATCAGCGCTGCTCTCAGCTGGACAGCCGAGCTGACGCTTCTACAATATCTTTCTCGCTCTCACTGCATGCTTTTCCCATAAGGCTATCTCTGTTTTTTCAGTTGTCAGTTTCAACCAGGCAGTTAGTCGGCATGGCCCGATATTATGTGCATAGAACACCGGTATAAAAATGGTTGGCGCCAATGCAATGTTCCGTTTTGCCTGCGGTCTACGCACACAGATGCACTGAGAAACATGTGACTGTGTTCACTTAATATCATAAGGCCATTAATAAATGAAGTCAGCAGTTTGCTTGAATTGTTGGAATACAATTCATTTACGTTCGTCATATTAAGCCTTTAGAGAGTAATTAGAAGCTACGGTTAAAAGTCCATAGAACATTAGTTTTATTATACTGGCATTATTTTTCAGAGTAGAGTTTATGGGAGCGTTGCGCTTGAATACAATTTTGCGAATCTGCTGCGTGTTGATCAATATGTATGTCGAAGACTATTTAAGACTTAAATATTAAGTGTAAAACCTAATTAACATGTGCAGGGAATTGTATAATATACTAGGGAGTCTAGGGAGGTAATTTTGTGGTGGCATTCTGGCACACCCAGAATGAAGCTTTTCCGACCCCACAAAGTATATATATATATATATATATATATATATATATATATATATATATATATATATATATATATATATATATTCCTGATCAGCATCAGTAAACGATTCGAGAGACTCCTGTGACTTCTCCTTCCGCCAACACAATCTGTTGCATCCACAAAACAAAAACGCAGAATCATTAAAAATATCAAAATGTAGCAAATTTTTGAATCTGTATCAGAACAAATCACTCTTATAGCCAGAACGAACGAATATGTACATATATTTGCAGTGGCTATGCTGCTCGCTTCCACGCGCTCTCTCTTTCACTCTCCCTATCTCACTCTTTTTCGTGCAGAGTGCGCAGTGTTACATAAATTATATACAAATATGTACATATGTATTTTAACTGAGTATATATACTTTTGAGTTGCTTTGGAATTCGTGGGCAAGTTGTGCACAGAAAAGCGAAATACATACATATAAGCTCTTGCAGATCATTTAAAAAACTTCCAAGCCAGCAACCTAACTCAACATACTATATGGAGACAATTGTATAATCTTCATTACAATAGCTGAATGGTTTCACAACCAATAAATGCAAAAACAAGTCAGAATTTTTTCTGATCTGTTTTAGGAGGCTGGAGATGCCTTCTTTATACCCTTTACAAATATATACATAATACTACACAGAAAGTATGTTCAGGGCTGGCATCGCATCCTAAAGTCATAATAATGGTACTAATTTAAATGTATCCGTGAAACAAAATAAGTTTAAAGATACACGTAATAAAGTAAATGTTGTCTTAACGCTTGCTAAATTCCTATTTTCGGAGACCTTGATATCAAAAATGAATATTTATATACTCGTAATCGTACTCCCACTTCCACTCGTATGTACATTAGGCCATGGTTGAAACGTGCCCATTTTTATCCATTCTGATTGGGTAATATTCATAGTTGATTTAATTTCATATGAGTACAAAAAATACAAATGAAATTATGAATGGCCAAGAACCCAAACACACCAACAAACTACAATTTTGATAACGACCGACCCCTAGTCCCCAGGCGAGTGAGTGTTAACGAGGGCCGAAGTGGGGGCAGGGAATCGTAGCCATAGCATTGGGAATTCCAATTGGGAAAAGGGTCACGTATCGAGCATTAAGGTAGAAATCACATCGCCGCCGATCGTAGCAACATAATCAAAGCTTTGCCGGGATCGGGAACCCAGCAGAGAATTCAGAGGCCTACAAATCGAAAGTGACGAGCATAAATTATAACAGAACTCTGCCAGGTTCCCCGGTCGGGGACTATAAATAAGCCAACTCCATGGTGGAAGTCAGAACACAAGTCAATCAGCAATCGAAATGATTAAACCCAGCTCTGCCACCGCCTTTATTCTGCTCTTGAGCCTAATGGCTTTAAGCACAGCTGAGCCACTGCGTCGGAGATTCTCCGCTCGACAGGTAGAGGCTCAGGCTCCGGCCAGTCCAACTCCTACAGGGTATCCAGAGGCGGGCGTTACACCCGAGGTTCCGTTCGATCTTCCCAGCTCTACCGCCAAGCCGGATGTGACTTATCTGCCTCCAGATAATACCTATGGCCCTCCGGATAACACATATGGCCCTCCGGATAATACCTACGGACCACCGGCTACTGCAGATGTGGAGCCCGGACAGGAGCCGCAGCCCGAAGATCAGCCAGAGTACCCCATCGAAACCGATGACATTCCTCCTGTCGACGATGAGGCTTTGGGAGATGCCAAGCAGCAACCAGCAGAGGATGAAGAGGAGGAGGTCCTGGTTCAAGTGTCCGATGATGGCACTGTCATTGCTGTCTCCTCGTCTCTCGATCAGCCACAGTCTGTCCAGTCGGCACGACTCTACCAGCGCTTTCCACAGGGTCGCCGCCGTGAGCAACCTGTTCCCCAAAGATTAATCCTTCGTCGCAGTTGGTGAAACCTTTCAACATTTCAGAGTTACAATACATATTATAAAGAATACTGCTTCTTCTGCTACCACTATGCTACTCACAAAATTGTTGTAATAAACATACTTTCATAATAGTACGTATCTATGGGTTACACCTGCTTTAGTCATCGCCTCTGTGGGCACGTAACATTTGGACTCGCCGTATAAGTCATCGGCCTCGTTGTCACTTTGGGGCAATTGATTGGGCAGACCCCAAGGCTAGCTCGAGGTATTTATAGGCGCCAATGGGCCAGACCAACCAGCAGTTCAAGTAGGGACAGCAAAATGTTTGGTTATCTTTATCTTGTCGCACTGTGCCTTTCTGCAGCCACCTGCCTGGAGGCGGGAGACGCGACGCAGTTGAGGTTTCCTGGGCCCGCAAAGGGAAGATCATTGCCATTAATATTGCAGAGACAGGAGGATGCGGCGCCATATCCACCGGCTGGTTTCGTGCCCGATCCACCATTCGAGTTGCCCACGGAGGAGGCGGCCGTGTTTCCTCAGCCTGATGACACTTATGGACCACCAGTCGAGGTTTATGGACCACCAGCTGAGGTCTATGGACCCCCAGATGAGGTTTATGGACCCCCAGATCAGACTTACGGTCCACCAGACCAAGCACTCAACGATGACAGTGCCAACAGCCAGCCACAGAGTGCAGCCATCATAAATCTAGCCAGCCTGCCGTTGCCACCTCAGGCACAGTTCGTTCTTCCTTTGCTGAGCCGTTTGGCCGCCTTCCGTCCGCTTCGCCCCGCCCTGCTGACGCCACAACGTCGACCGGCCAAGCTGACAGCACGCCCACAAAGGAAGCCAGCAAAAATTGTCAATGGCATTCAAGGACACGCGGTTTTTCCCTCGACTCAGTTGGCACTGCCCTTTGTAGATCGCCGCACTCCCTTCCGGCCACGACCAGCGCGCTTGATTGTGAACGCTCCATTCAGGAGGCCAGCCAGGCATTAGCACACATCATTTACTATTCTGACTGAGAGCAGAGTGCCCCAATGATACATCTGACAAATTCTGTAATTAATAAAGTCTGTTGTTTATGTCTAACCTTTGAATTGGAACAGTAATTGGGTATGCAACGAGTAAGCTCAGAACGCCAGGCGCTTCATTAGCAGATACATGTGCTGGTCCACCTCGAATCCGTGCAAATTGTTGGCATCACCCTGCAGACGCATGAGGAGGCCACCGAACGAGACGTACGCCGATAGACGAGAAGCTTCATTGTGAGCCTCGTCGCCTTCGATGCGATAGATTTTGCCGTACATCACATACTCGAAGCTATCAGCACGCGTGCCCTCGTGCTCCATGGGATTGTACTCGCCGCTGTCGGGGCAGCCGTCTTCGCGCAGCGTTGTGGCCAGCACCAAGCGGAACTTGTCGCCCAGTTCCATGGGATAGAGCCAAGAGTTGATGTCCAGTATAAGGTCCATTTTGAATGACTCGGACTCGCAGTGCAGGCGGGAGACACGGTCGAACTTCTTGCCTTCGGGGTCCATGTCCTTCACGTTGAATATATCCTCGAAAAGTACTCCAGCCATTGTAGCTGCATGGGTTAGTTATAAATGAGGGTTAAGGTATCGAGCCGCCAAAAATACGCATTACCTTGTGTCTTTGTTTGGCCTTATGGGTGTTTTATACTTCGGTGGCAGCTACTACCTTAACAGGTCCCAGGCGCTGTTTTTATTTATTCTTTACTTGTATATTTATTATTTGCGCGTGTTTCTAAATCGGCAGGGATGCTAAAATATATCGATTTATTTTTTTGTTGATGATATATTTCCAGGAGATATTTGTTGAAGAAAGTATCAATATCGATACTTTTGTGCGATAAGCGGAACTCGGATTTTGAAATTAACAATACTAGTGACCGCGGGTTCAAATAATCCATAAATGTTTGCGCTGTATCGGAATAAATCAGAGAAATCAGCAAAACTTGTATATAATTTATATTCGAAAATAGATTGATGCATTCATTTATCCCATTCCATTCATAATGCTTAATTGTTTTTTATTATTTCAGCAGCAGCTATAAAAATATCCCATCTCTAAGCTCAAGGTGTGACCGTAAATTCCTTGCCACACATCCCTAACTCTAAGCACAACGAAAACACCACCAAAAAAACTATTATTTTTATTTGAATTAAACAAATCAGCAACCATCTTGCATTGTCTGACCTCGTGCGTGGCCTAGGACTATCCGCAGAGGGCAAGATGGTTATTCTTGAAAGGCTCTAGGATTAGAACGCGGTGCGGACGGAACGCAAAAAGTATGTACACTCTTTGATGGGCGTTGAAATTATAAACAAATGAACTGCAAGTGCCCGTCGCGAGAATGTAGCACTCATGGTGGCTAGCCCCAAGCGAGGTGTGCAAGGTCTCCGATGTCAATCTGCTCGTTAGCTTTTTCCCAATGGGGATGAGGGTAAGTCCAAGACTGATTGGTACTAGTAATGGTGATGGTGATGTATGTATGTATGTACCCCGGATTCGTATGTATACGAAACATCTGTACTTCTTAATTCGATTGCATGTAATGCTTTTGTGGTGCTGGAAACTACTAACAAACCAACGAAGAGGTCCCAAGAAAACTGTTGACTCGTCGTGGGTTCTCGTACCTCCAGGGACGGGACGGGACGGGACTGTCGAATACAAAAGACTTCAACGCTGACCTCCCCCTCCCATGCAATCCCCCCTCCCCAATAACCTCCACGCGACATCGTCTATTTAGCATTACAAAACTGTTGTTGTTATGTATTCACTTCTTTATTTTCGCTTTTTTGTGTGATTTTCGCTGTCGTTCGTGCTTTTTCCGCGTTCTCTTTCAGTTCCAATTTTCAGTTTCAGCTCTGGATTCTCTAGCTTTAATTTGCTTTTGTCAACGGCTCGGTCTCATCGGTTCTCCATCGGTGTGCAATGGGGAAGGAAGGGGAACCTACATACATATAATGGGAGGGAGTCTATAAAGTTTTCGAGTGAGTTGTTTTCGACACGGGTGCGGCTTTAATGAAGCATTACCCCGCCGTACCGGGGGGTAGGAAATGAGGGTTCCTGAGGAACCAACCCAATCTGTTTGCCAGATGTTTAATTTCTGCTAACTGCTGCAGGGTCATCGTCTGCCCAGACTACGAGTACGAGTACGAGTACATTTTCTTTGTGCTCTGCTTCCATTTTCATTGAAAACTCCGCTGCCTTCGGGAGCAGACAGTCGCCTCAGGTTGCAAGAACAAAAAGTGAGACGGACTATCTATAGAGACTATCTATAGCTTCTTGTGTGAGTGAGCATGTGTGGTTTGTGCGCGAAGTCTTATCGGCAGCCGTACAGTCAGAGCGCCTTATCAGTTATTGCCTTGCTTCCCCGAGGTCTTATTGCTCGAGTAATATTACTCTCTGTATCATACATATTTCTGGGGATTCGTCTGTCGCCTCCCTCGCAAACAAAAGATTGAGAAAGCAAACTGGAATTGTTGTGGAAAGTTCTCTGGAAAAACCAGATGATAAAGTGATCAAAATAAAAGCAAAAGAGCGTACAACTTTTCTAGCTCTTATCAGTATTGACACAGCTGGAAGTTCTGTTTTCTGTTTTTTGTTCTCTTTCACTCTTCGCTCTTCGGTTTCTGTTTCAGTTACTGTTAGTATTTCTGTCTGCTTTTCATGATTGTTCGCTTTGTGTCCGCGTGTGTCCGCGTGTCTCTGTATTCCGCATTACGCATTACGATCGCAAGCAATAACAACTCTCAACTCTTTTACAGCCCATCTGCTAGACTCCATCTAAACTAATCCAAAGGTGTTTGGGATATATCCTAAGAGTATCGAAACCAAAAACAAATAAAGACAAATAAAAAAAAAAATACCACAAGTACATCGTAGAAATATTAATAACCCCGAACCGTAAACTTAGAAAAGCTGGTGCCGGTGTCCAAGCAAAGCCCTAGATATCAGTAAATAACTAACCTCAAAATGGTGCGCAGCCGTCGCAGTCTCTCCAAGGAGGATGCCGTGTCCCTGCTTACCGACAGCGGGATCTCATTGTCATCGCCGCCGGCGGCGCGGGGCTCCTCGCCCACCTCCTCGACGAAGCTCATTAAGCGCAGGAAGAGCAGCCTCACCAGTCTGCAGGATGCTTACGCAGAGGAAGACACCGAGCAGGACTCGAAGGATGCGGACTATGTGCAGCCCGCGCCCAAGAAGTCCACGCGCAAGTCAGACCCAGGGCGCCGCAAGCAGCACGTGTGCAGCCATTGCTCCAAAGAGTTCGGGGGCAAGACAGATCTGCAGCGCCACTTGCTAATCCACTCGGACGAACGGCCGCACAAGTGCGCGGACTGCGGCAAGTGCTATCGCCAGGCGGTAAACCTGAAGAACCACATAACCACCGCCCATGAGCACAAGAAGCAGTTCGTCTGCGCCGAGTGCCCAAAATCGTTTGCCCTCAAGGAGCGTCTGAGGTTGCATATGCGCCTCCACTCGGGGGAGAAGCCGTACCAGTGTCCCATCTGCGACAAGCGATTCGCTAGGGGAGGACAGGTAAGTGCAGTATAGCAAAACCAACGCTAAAAGATCTTTCATATCTGCTGTCCTGTCTACACATCCAGCTACAACAACACATGGTATCCCATCATAAGACGTGTATACAGCAATTCAACTGCACCAAATGCTCCGCCAGTTTCTCAACGAATGCCAATCTGCGAGTACATATGATGCGCCACGAGCAGGGCATGGAGCACCGGTGCAGCATCTGCGAGAATCAGTTTGCCAATGAGCTGGCCCTGCGCGCCCACATCAACCAGAAGCATCACAAGCTCACGCAGTTCGAGTGCGAAATCTGCCACAAAAGCATAGAGCCCGACGAGGACCTAGCCACCCATATGCTGAAGCATGCGGCTATCAAGACCCATGTGTGTGAGGTGTGCAATTCGTACTTTACCCAAAAGTCTCAGTACAACGTCCACATGAGGATGCACACGGGGGAGAGGCCATACCAGTGTCGTGTAAGTCATGGTTATGCAAGACACACTTAAGATCGATATCTAAATAGCTTCTCGTTCTTT